GACACGAACCAGGCCCCCATACCAAATCTCCCCTTTTTTTCTATATCTATGATATGAACAAGACTTAGACATTCCTGACAATCCCGACGTTAAAAACAAAAAAAAATACAATATTATATAGCTAAATAATACTTTATTTTTAAAGTGACTCGAACCATCCTTGACTCAATTTGCAAAGCAATCCTTATACCGTTTGGCCACCGCGGCGTTACTAAAGGTGGTTGAAATTTGTGTTTTGTATTTAAGTCAGAACCATACGTTAAAGATCAAATTATCTTAAAAACTTTTTTAAAATGTCTTTAACTAATGAGACGAACAGGGAGTCATACCAAAATAAATTTTACGGCTCACGGGTTAAAGTTTGTGCTCTGAACCTTATGGTCGACAAAGTCGGCTTCGGTCGGTCAGGTATCTTGTGCATATGACTGTACGGGATAATATATATGCTTCTATAATATGATTCCATTTGATCTTCTTTGTTATTTAACTTAAAGAAAAAAAAATTCTTCTACTTCTTAAACTTCTTCACTTCTTAAAAATACTACTGCTTTCAGATGCTTACTAGGATGATAAAAATCCGTGGTAGTGATCCGTCAAGCTCTGTCTGGCAACTGTCAGGTTTCATAAGAGGTTCGGTTTCATGAACGCGTCTTGTGATTGATGATAACAATGAGAATCAAATAAAATTTTCACTGTTGTACTTCGGGAAATGTTAATTCAAATTTATAACACTTTCAACAAATTATGTACTTTAAAAAGTTATAACACAAAGTGGTAACGAAATCGAATTTTCAAAATCGCTAAATACATATAGGGTAAAAGCCGGATAGTTGCCCCACTTTTAGAAAAAGCTCAATTATAAAATAGTATGTACTTAATAAGAAAAATGCTACATGTATATCAAAATATAGGTCTTTGAACTATAATAGTAGCCTATTTTTGTGAACATATTTATTAATGGTTTTGAGTAATTCCTGTTTTATTTGACCTCTCAAAAAGAGGATAGTTGCCTACTCTGGCGGATAGTCGCCTAAAGGAAATAATACTTCAGAGGATACTTGCCTTGTGCGGGGATAGATGCCTCACAATGTTTCTTTTAAATAAAAACAAATTTATATCAATTAACGTAATCAGTCTTTATTATTTACTGCAATCTTTTGTTAAGAACTAATCAACATTATTAATTTTTTGTTTTAAAACTATGAAAATATAACAAAAATAACCTCCAAATCTTAAATTAGTTAGTTGTTATTAATACAAAATTATTATTTAGCTTAAAAATATAACAATATGGCAATCAACTTTGGCATTAGCATTAGTTAATATTAGTCATCACAAGTAAGGGTTTTCATCTTTCCACATCTCATGCAATTGTTTTCGAATGTTGTACAAGTTTCATGCAACCACATTCGACATATCTGACATTGAATCCAATCTGATTTCGATTTAGTAAAATTGTAATTCTCGAAACATTCTACGCAATAATCATTATCAGAATTTTGTTTATTTATATTTTTTATTTTTAAATTAGCATTTTCGACTTTTATTTTCTTTTCAGTATCTCTCGATCTTGATTTGGTTGGTAGTCCTTTGGTGGCTTTTCCTTTGAGTGATTTCGGATTAATATATATATTTTCTTCATTTTCACTGTCAGAACTGTAAATTTGTATTCTTCTCTTCCTTAAAGCTCTTCTTTCGGTCAGTTTAATATAATCTGTGTTACCTAGAAATGAAGACATAAAAAGTTAACCATTTATTTCATTTTATTTAATAAATCATTCAAAAAAATATCTGACACGGGTGGGCCTTGAACCCACAACCTCAATATTTATTTTATTCAAGCTTAATTATAGCCACAAAGAGTTAAAAAATATAAAAAGAAAAAAATCTCCCTTTGCTCGTAAAATAATTTATAGTTGCGGATAGTTGCCCCAGGGCGACTAGTTTCTAGGGCGACTATCCTTTTTGATACGGATACTTGCCCTTTTTATTTGGAAAAAAAATAAAAAAAATTTAGCAATAAAAATGTTATAAATAGTGTAATGTAAACTCTAATGCACGCAAGGAAACAAAAAGTTGACTGAAAAGACAATCAGTAATAAAAATATTCAATAGAAATTACTTACCAATATAGTTTCAACGCCTATCGAAGTTTCGCCGCGGAAGATTTTCGCTCACACGGACAAAACGCGTGCGTCTAAACTGACGGTTGACGTGGCACTGAGGTCTGCGGGATGGGTACTTACAATTGTAGTAGCTCGCTACTGCCACAAACGCCCGTAACATAGTTAATTCGAAACCGTGGCAAGTATCCCCGTGGCGCAACTATCCGGCTTTTACCCTACGAGTATTGTTAAATACATAACACTTATATGTTTTTATGCCGCTTCGTAAAAAGCTGGCTTGTAATACACAAGCCAGCTACGATTTTAAATGGGAATTGTGAAGAAAATAGATTTTTTTTGTACCAAGTGACAAGTCAGTCCCATGATTTCAGCCTTACCCATCAAAACCGAAACACAGTAATACTAACATTACCGCTTGGCGGCAGAAATAGTTAAGGTGGCAGTACTTCCCTGGACGAGCTTTTTCACAAAAATCTCTACTGCTAGTAAAAATGAAAAATTGAATGTAAGGACGATAGTCAAATAATGAAAAAATTTTAAATAATGACTTGGTTTATTGAGCACGTTTATTATTGTTCGTACATATAATTGTTATAATTATTTTATAATACAATTAAAGATAACTCTAAGCTACGGATATACTCGAGTTACGTATACTCATCCAGACATCTATATACAATACATTTGCAAGTAAATAATGTATTCACTAACTATTGAACACTAAGTTCGAGTACTATTTTCCTATTATGTAATTAATTTCGAAATATAATTAAAAACAAGCTTAATTATGAAATTTATGTACAGGATAGACAGTTCTTTAAAATTCTAGAAGGACTTAGACGTAAATGTGTAAGCTATTAAGGCTATGAAATGCAATTTTGGTTTCAAAATTACTATATTACGTATAACTGCATAATGAATACTAACTGTCCAAAGTTACGAAAAATAACAATTTGTATTATTTAGTGTATCCATGCGTAGGTACTTATAACACTTTTTTCTTTGGTCAGTTTCCAAAATGTTTTACTTTTTGAGCACTTTTTTATTAATGGTGCGTTTATTTTACACTACGTACGTGAAACTGAAGTTACAATATATCAGCGGTTGAAAGGTAAAAAGATCTAAGCGACAATCAAGCGTGTCACTTAAGTGTTATTTTTTCAGTCAGCCGTGACCATGGGACCTGTAAAGGGCCCGAGAAGTTAGCTTGTTTGAAACCACAAATATGCACGATTTTGATCCGCAAAATAATACTTTCATTTCCAATGTTATCTTTTGTTGCATTTCTCTGGCTATTATAAAAGTAGCTAAAACCGGAGTACTTATGTGTACAGCAATACATACATACAAATGAATTTCTGAATTTGCACACTTTTTAAGGGACCTAGAAACGCTTCGCTTCGGTGCCCGCCGACGCGACTTGATAAAGGCGAAACACGTGGACACGGTGGAGAAAGCCTTTTCTGAGCGGCTCAAACTGACTCAAAACGTATGGTGACTCTTAATACTCCTATGAACAATTTAAAAATTGTCGCGGAGCCCGTTTTACTTTTCTAACAACGTTATGGTCGATTACAATTAAGTTTGAATGAATGAATATGAGATATGAGGTTGCGAAAATATCCGTTTATTCATAACTATACAGGGTGAAACTTCGAGATTGTTCAGTCAGGGCAAATACCTTAACCGTAATTTTTTTATGATACTAAGTAACGGAACGAACAAGCCGTGGACCTGCTGGCAAGCGACACGCCTGTCCATAACAGTTGCAGTGCCACTTAGAGCTTTAAAAGGCAAAGATCTGAGGGGCACTGTCGCTGCGCCCGACACCCTGAGACACAAGCTCTCAGCTTGGCGGCAAACATAGGTAAGGTGGCAGTACTTCCCTGGACGAACTCTTTCACATGGAGCTCCACTGCTACTGTTACAACTACAGAAAAATGATTCTAGAAGACTATCTATGAATTTTGAAGATTATTTCGATTGGTATTCACAGATTTTAGATAAATGGTACAGTCATCACGATAAAAAGCAATTTTCAAGAATTTTTTCATACCATTCGATCCTATTTCTAATAAGGATCAAAAGTCCCTATGACACTAACTGAGGTAAAAGTACTAGAATTGTCAGAAATTGCAAGAAAATTTACCATACCTAGACCCCATACCATAAATAGAGACTTGATCCTTACCAAAAATAGCATGGAAAATGTTTCGTGAAAATATTGTCAAAATTCATGGACAGTCTTCTTGGACCGTTTTCCTGTAGCTATAACGGTTAAGGTAGCTGGCCTTGCTGACCCCTCTCAAATTTCCCCCCTGTATAGTTGCACTAAGCTACAGTTTAGATAATTTTGACAGATTAATAACTTACACCTTGTATATCGTTATACCTATACATAAAAGTACAAATAAATAAATGTTATTGTAAAGAAATGGTTAAATACCAGAATTCAAAACATTTTATTGTTTAATATTAATAATGCTTTTGTACACGCCTACACCTTAAGTGCTACATTTAAGTTACAGTCGCTAGGAAAAATGTTAAGATAGATTTTGGTAATTACTATTCGCTAAAGAAAACAGTATATTAATTACGTAATATTAAGGTATCAGTTTGCAAATACTAGCCAGTAGGTACTACATATATTTACATATAACTATCTATTGTGATGCTTACGTACAAATTTATTAGCCGCGTTAAACGCTTCGTATTCTGAAAAGTTTCATACGTATTTAATTTTTAATTACATATCAATTGATTTGGAAAGTAAAAAAAAACAGTACACAAAACGTGTTGAATTTTGTTACAAGCATTTTTATGTGAATATGTCATTCATTCTTTCATTTATTCATTATTTCAGTATTTACAACAAAAATCATATTCAATAATAAAATCATAAGTTCTTTGCAAAATTTCAATCTACTTGTGATTGAAGCGAAACATGGTTTGCATAAATCTCCATTTAAACTTTTACGGCATTTTAACAGAGTAATCTTGCAAAAGGTTCGTTCAAAAAAGTTTTCGTTGAACTTCTCACTGTCATTTTAATAAACAATCGCGTACTGTCCGCTTATTATTATAACGACGCCAGTATTTGTCTACAATACTGTCCAGTATTTCAGGTACCCCTAGTCGGAAAATCCTTCGTTATTCGTATTATCTGAAGCTGGAGAAGTTCCAGGGGAGGGAACGTGCATTTGTCTTCCGTATATCAGTTCGGAGTGGGGCATAAACGACGACAGATAGTCTGGAGGAGGTCTGATAACAGTCGGTAAGTATCCGGTACCACTGTACGGTGGAGTAAGGAATCTTCTAGAAGGCGAGAATTTGAAACTATGGTTTGATAACGGTGAGAATGCAGATTTCGACTGATAATTTTGCAAGTAAGGAGGAGATTCCTGTGTCAAGCTATAAGGTGTGGCGTTGTCGCCTCCATTGACCATTAGCTCCATGGCAGCGACAACGTCTCCTTTACACCGCGAAAGAATTGTTTCAATTTCTTGTCGACTGCGTCGTGGGAACACCTTTATCAAGACATCAACTGGGGATTTCTGGAATGGTGTAGAATCTTCTGGAACATTCTCCGGAGTCTTTCTGTCACGTCTGAACATTTTATACTTGAAATCTGGGTTATCCCATTTTTCTTCTTCCTCCTTTTTGACCGGGACTTCCTCTCGAGGTTCTTTCATGGAGAGATTTTCAGGTGTGAGGGATGTTTCGGATTGGTCTTCGAGTTCCTCTTCGACGTTAAGTTCGTGTTCCGAGGGTGACCGAGGGGGCGGAGTGTGCAGCGGTGGAGTGGGCGCAGGGGTTTTGGTTTCCGCTGGAGTCTCTGTTGATGGTGGCGATGGGCTGGAACATACTTCTGTGATGCGAGCGCGTTTTTGAACTGTGGACAAAGGAAAAGAGAGGGTCAAATTTGGGGTTATAGTGGCACTTGATCAACCACTGTGTGTACAATAATTAAAAGATGATACACTAACAATTGAACTTCTTGACAAGTTTTCAACGTGGAAAAATAAATAAGCCTCAATCAATAACGTTTCCTGCAACTTATCAATGAACAAAGCGACGATTGTATTCAAAAGCATGTATTTTCGAGATATGGGTCGTGTCGATGAAGCTGGTACTATCAATAATTCACAATGCACAATAACGCGTGCACGAGTACAATGCTGCGCGGGCGCGTAACGGCAGGCCAATGTTATCAACAGACGCGTTAATCATCACCGAACAGCACCGTGTGCATCGAACGCTGCAGTGTTAATTGTTCGGTATGGTCGAGATGACAAGTGAGTTGAATTGGTGATTGAATTTTGTTGAAGTAAATTGATGGCGGCTTTTATGATTCGAAGTAAAATTTGTTTACAAGTTTTTAAATTTTATCGGTATTGTCTGAAATCATCTTATACGTATTATTATTTTATTGAGCTAAGTTCTAAACTTGTGACGACTACGCTATTTGACTTAAACAAATCACGAACTGCTGTCCATTTAGCAGTAATATTTTATTTTCGATGAAACCTACAAAGTAACCCTTTTTGACATCTGATTAAAAAATAAAATATGTTCATTTCAATAAAATAACCAAGGCCGAAAGTTTCAACGATCCCCTGCATCAAACCACTCACAAAATGCAATAATTGCTACCAAATTATACTTGCACAAACAACAGAACAATAGCCCAAAGAGTTCATGTACCATTATTTACAAGCAGATGTCTCTATTAATACCATTTTCAATTTCAATGCCGCCTTCCATCCCTTCTAGTCACACACAATAACATATCTCCATCCCGCTCACTCCCACATAATGAGATTCAAAATGGCCAGTATTATTTCCTTTATTGTAATTCATAAAGTGTTTGTATTGCTTCAAAGATGGCGTATTATTTTAATGAAATTTTTTGGTTTGTTTTGTGCGAGGGCGGCTTTGTGTGCTTCAAAAAACGAGGTATATTTTTTCGTTTCTTTGTGACTTTTTCATTGAAAGCGTTTTACATTGGTTTTTGTGTTCATTGAATCGGTTCACTTTACGCTGTGTCTGCTCAATGTAATGTTAACAATCGTTTTGTACTACTTTTCATTTCATCTTTATCTCATTATCGTTTGGCCAGATAGCTTCTGTGATACCACCTCAACATTTCAAATTTCACGGAATCTTTTATACTGTACACCAATTCCATTGTTGTATGTTATACCGTCATATTATTTTACATCAAATACATTTTCAAGGCGGTTATGGAGTGGAATTCCCTGCCTGCTGACTTGTTTCCTGAACGGTATAATTTGGGCCTTTTCAAGACGACAGTGAATAGGCATTATGTAGGTGTGTATGCTCTATCGTCGGCCTATCCCACTAATCTCAACCCAGCTTTCCTCCTGGTGGGGACAAGCAACCTCATCGTCACTTTTCATCAGGTAAGATGGCGGTCAAATGAGCATTTATTTTTTTTAATAAAAAAGAGAAAGAGATATTAAAAGGTGTAACCAAACTTCAGTGTTATTGACCCATTACGATCTGTGACTTGTCCTTTACAGATATTGTGCCCTGTTTTTGCTGTAATCTACAAATCATACCTCTCGTTATTAACATTAGGTAAACTTATTTTCAGTTATAGACTCTAAAACTCGAGCTATTACTCATGTTAAACTCGTTATATATATTAAAAAGTATACATATGCATAATAAGTAACTGTTCTTTGAAAGCAGAATAAGTAAACATCAGATCGATACCTCCAACGAACACTATGTCAATTTAATTTTTGGACCCGTTTTTGTTTTATTTTTCCACAAAATTAGTTTTTTTCTAAGTTCGTTTTTTGTTTCTATATTTCTTCACGAAATTCGGGGAGCATAATATTAGTAAATAAATGTGGCTGTTTACAAAAATAACAGAAAATGACCAAAACATAAAGTTGGCGTAGTGTTTATTCGAGGCATCGAGATATGACAGTTAGTCGGGAGAATGACGGTATACATTTGAAACATACAAATCTATAAAAGCAGCCCCTAAATCACTATCAAAACTTCACTAGACCGAAAAATTTCGACCAACCGTAACTCTCTCGAACTGGTATCGAATCAATTTTAAGCACTCCCCGCGCCGCCCCACCCTCCGCACCGTCATCGCCCGCTGTTTAAAAAACAATAACTTGGACCATTAAATTCATACACGCCACTGAAACCGTTCTAATTGCATCACCACAATGACTTGTGCGCCCGACTGTACGTGTACAGTACACCATGCGATTATTGTTGCTCAAAATGTAGAGACAGAAAAAATGTGCTAGAAATTTTAATAGCGTACGTAGGCATTGAAGTTTCTTTTCTACAAAATGCAATAGTGCTTCCGATAAAGAATATCATAAGATTGAGAAAGAAAAACATATAAATATAGGTTTTTACATTACAAATTTAGAACACGTTTACTTCTTTCTTTACATACTTAAAATTTCTGCAAAGAGAAACAAATTATGCTACCTTCTTTGATAAAATCAGCCAAGTGAAAACTATGAGCGAGTATCCTTCCACAACTACATATTACTAAATTTACTATAATTCCTTTTCTTTACATACACACACCATATTCTGTTGCTCTCTTTCATCGTGATCGGGTAACAAACGGCAAATAAAATACCTTACTGTGTAAGTAAAAAGGAAAAAAGAATTGAAAAAATACATCTCATTATTTTCTCACGCATATTATTTTCAACTGTTTACTCTAGTGCACCAGGCAGTGCGTCTGTGTGCTCTCTGTGCTTTGACTTGTGGACGGAAAATGTTTCAAAGGAGCCCGTGCCATGACTCGTCGCCAGAACAATCAAAACAAAAGAAACGGCTTTGTGGTATCAAAAAATACTCTTTAAAAAAATTCAACGGTCGTGTTTGTTTTAAGATCTCACAAGGTCAAGTATCGCTTTGACGTCTGCAAGTTATAAGCGTGTTTTTTTTATATTTGGCTAAAGGACACTATAAAAGATTTGCAACAAAGACTTACAAAAATTCGTTGATTGGCTTATTTGACAAAAGCGGTGGCCCCGTGTGGCAACAGACGCTGGTTCGAATCTTTCGAAGGATATAATAACCAACTCACTAGTTGGTTATTTTACAAAGATATGAAAATAATCCACTGAGTATTGTCATAAAACTCATATGTATGTGTTACATATAAATATTCAATAAAACAAGTATTAACACTATAAGAAATCTTAAATCTGGTTACACCCGTCAGTGTCCGGCACGACATTAAAAGACAAAAGCAAAAAAAAAACTTAATATTATCCAAAGTCACACACAATCATAAACCCTCTGTTATGTGTTCAGAAACCGCAAATTATAGCCAGCATAAAGATAGACTGTTTTGTTAGCACAAATTTCTTATCTGTGAAAATGTTATTTATTGCATTAATAACATCGAATTCGATTTTATTATTACATTCAAATTTCGAACATCCTTGAAAAACAAAACAATTTGATTCGACCTCAATTAATATCAATCGAGATGAAGTTTTATTCGAAATGAAATGTCAATATCAAACAATTTTCACAAATTTAACAAACAACGTTACTTAATATCTAACGATATGATAGTTGGGGCCGACTCTAGTTTGACTATTAATTAAATAAAAACTGCGGTAGTATGACATGCGTGAGAAAAGTTTTCATTTGCCACCATTTCGCCAGTCGTAACATGCGGTTCTTGAACACATCATAGAGACCTTGTAATATCTGTATAGATAAGGCAGTCTGTGTAACTGTAAATAATTAGGCATTAACACACTCGTATTTTAATACCTGTCACATAAACATAAACTACTATAGTCCATAGGTAAATTTTTTACACTTTGAAACGTAATTTTGTAAGCTACTGCTTGTTCTCCGTGCCGACTTCCCTGAGAAGGAGCAAAAAACTCTAGGAAATGCTCCATTTTATTTAATGATCGAATGTCTACGTTTTTTATATAAGATTAAATCTAATGACAAGAATAGAACAACATGCACATGAACTACAACTCTATGTAGATGAAAAGTTACGAGTGATAAAAACACATTTTCATAGAGCGTGAAACATTATTATCGTCTGGGTAATATTGCTATGCAACATAATCTAAATTTGTTCTGTTCTGGGTGCTCTGGGTACTGCCCCAGAGTGCCCTACCGTTGCTCCGGTAACACAGGAAATTCCCTAATTTAAGACCAGACACATTATTATTATTACTATTATTGCAGTGATTTAAGTATTTTTAGTGGTACAATCTCGCAATATGATCTTTTATTATCTCACGTGAGCTCTACTTTAACTCCTATGGTAACCAAAGGTCCCGAAGTTAACCCTTCTCATGTGCGAACGTTGTATCGCGTCAGACCAAGGCGGACCATAAATCGCGTAACGCGTTGATTTAGTGCCCGCGACTGTCCCCGACACTGTCACTGTACACGACTGTACTTTATTGTACTGCACGTACAGTGCTATGAATAACTTGTGGTAGTAATTCATGGTTATGGTGAGCAATGAATGAATAGGTTAGTCAATTATCTAACATCTTCGTCATCGGAAGTACAGCGAAATAGTGCAACACGAACGTGAATACCGTTGACCATTTAATAAGTAGACTCATAGGACAGCTGTCAAACCCAGAAATTTTAGATTAGAAATTGTGGACGTTTGACATAAAAGTGCGAGTCAATAAATTTTTCGTTTAATAAGCCATACTGCCAGATCTTAGATTATAATTTTTCTCCGATACTTTACATAATTTTCTAACATATTTTCGCAGGAAATCCTTATATCTTTACGGTGACCATTTTGAAAGTTCCGTCCATCAATAATAAAACATCTTTTTTTAACAACCGCGACTTAAGTTACTTGTCAGCCATTACTAACGT